TGCTGCTGTTAAAACTGTTTTTTAACTGATTTTCAGTATTTGGTAGAATTTGGTTATTTTATGTGCTTTATCATCAACATAACTTATGCACTTATTAAAAAAAAAATTCCCATGTTATTACTGAACTTCGTCGTGATGTAAAAACACGCAATATATGATCACAACATTAATGTACATGTCCTGCATGCTCATAATTAAGCTAGACTCTGATAGCAGAAAATTAGCCAGCTGTAACAAAACAATCCTTTAAAAACATCTGTCAAAACAAGGAAACAGAGAAGAAAAGCGTAAAGAGTATCTGTCATGCTCTTGAAAACATCATAGTGTCCATTTTTTCCTTCTCTATATTCCCTCATGAAGTCCTCTCAGAGACAACCATCTCAATGATATTCATCTTTTGGGAATACTGATGAAGTTAGACAATAATAACCTGTGAGCTGAGCAGGGGCAACTATAATTCTTGTAGGGATTTTTCCAAATTCTTACAAACATTGAGGGAACAAAATACAGGTATGATGATGCTCTCTATTCAGTGATACCCTCTTGTGTGAGTGTTCTTTTGCTTCTTTTTCTGTAATTTTCCCAACATACATTTATTTAAGGATTTCATAAACGTTAGTAGAAAAAAATACATCACAGATCTAATGTCTAAGTCACACTTTGTGTGAAAACTAACTAAAAAAATACCTTGAGGGTTAAGGAATAGTGTTTTAGCTAAGAGTGTAAACCTGATTTGATTCTGAATAATGCAGTCCACAAGAGCTGACATAAAGCTTGTATACTCTTATAATCACTATCCTCTATAGGATGGGCAAAAATAAATATATGCTGTTGAATTATTTTAGATAACCAGTGTAGAAGTTTACTGTTCAAAATTATGTGTCAGGAAAGATCTCCCCCAACAATAAACCCTAGATCAAAAGACTGAATTTAAAATCTTTTTTTTTTCAATATATTAAACTTAGATTTCTTTCCATTTGCTCTTTCCTTTGAGCCCATAGAGAACTCATGCCTGATTTTTCTTGAAAAACTCAAGAATTGATTCTAAAGATTTGTAATTTTAACCAAAAAAAAAAGACATGATGAACTTTTCGGCAGCAGCATGTATATCTATTTTTTCCACTGGTTTTATGACTGCTTTTTTTTTTTTTTTTTTGATGGTGTTTGATCTTTCGGCAGTTTATATTCAACCACCAACAATGCATTCCTAAATATGAATGTATATACCTGTTCTATCTTAAGTTTTTCTCTGAAGTGTGGACATTTAATACAAATTAAGGTCTGATGTTGTTAAATCCCCCACATTCTTTAAATGGCAATCAGTAGAATTAATTTTTACCTATGTACTCCATTTTCATCACATTTTAAGTTTGCTATAGATGGATAAATCTTCGGCTGCAGAACTTTATAGCTAGTTGTTTCGATTATATTCAGCAGCAAATTATGGGAGATGTAGTATATGGTAGTACGCGTCTGCGAAATTAAATACCAGTCAAACAATGCAGGTAGATGATTGCACATGCACACACACAGATTTATGGAACTGTAGGTGTACAGATGTATATTGAATTAATAATATTAATAATTATTAATAATATTGAATATTTAAATATTCAATGTTATTGATTAATAATTCACAAAGCAAATAGATTTTATAGGCACCAGTGTAAATCTATTAACTTCCATGGTGTTCCTCCTGATTTACATTTGTGTAAGTGAGAGGGAAGTTTAGCGATTATCATGTTTGCTTTAGATGAGTAAAGGCAGAAACACCAATTTATCATTAGCTTAAGTATATCTAACTGGGCTAATTTAATACTAACTGAATATTAAAATATAGAAATATTCCATCCTTTTTTTTTTTCTCTCCCCTTCCCTCTGAAAATGAGGAGCTTTGTTTCTGTAGCCATATATACATATGGTATTTGTTTGAGGAAGCTTGAAAACACAAGTTTGGCTGATACAATCATGGACAGATTATAACCTCTTATTTTTATGTGTATGTTAATTATCATTAATTTGATGTGAAGGATACAGCTGAATGCAAAAGAGAACTAACTGTTCTGAGCAGTTGAAACAAAGAGCAAATTTGATGAATTAATTGTGGTATTCCTGAGTATGACTGTTATAACAGTCACTGGATGTTGGTGTCCCTTACGGTACATTGTTTTTGAATACATAATATGCATTTTTGCATAGACCTGCCTTGTTAGTATTTCCGCATCTTCCTTTTACCTTAGGTAGGGGAAGACTTCATTTTTTCTTTATCTTCAGCCAATCTATAGGCTAGAAATTCCTGGTTCTTCACTGATCCTAGTGCTACCCTTTATGAAAATCTCTGTAAAATTCCAGAATGTGTGTTAGATACTGACTTTAGGGAATCTATCAAATTTGCAAACTTGACTGGTTACCTAGTTTCATTTATGGTCTGCAGAAATATGGGCTATTCATTATCCTCTTTTTCTGCTCTTAGGAATTGCATGTCTGTGTGTCTGAATATATCATTTAGTAGATATTGAAGGTAGGGTCAATACTGACTAATCATTTAAAATGTATGTCTCAAGCTACTTTTAATTTGAAGCGTCTCTACCTCGAGCAATGTCAGACTACATAAATTTATAATAAAAATGAATCAATCGTCTCTGATCTGTTTTAAGTGTGAATTCTAGACAGCAGAATTGATAATGACAACTTTCTCTTCCTGCCTTTCCCCCTGCTTTTGATCATGTTGTGTGAGCATGTGTGTGTGTGTTTGTACGTATTTATATAAGATTATACGCCATTTTTCTCAAATATATTATTTTTACTAAAACCATAAAAGGGCGATTGGACAGAAAAATGTGCTCGAGAGCCTCTAATAGATTCCAATCCTGTCTGCCTGCTGCTCTATTTTGCACCAAGTCAAATTTTTTTTTTTTTCCTAAGCTGATAATTGAAAACCTATCTTGTTCTTACAGAATGGTTTTGCTGTTGTAAGGCCCCCAGGCCATCATGCTGAAGAATCAACAGCCATGTAAGTACCACGGAATATTGCCCATCTTGGAGCACTAAGGTTACTAGCAATCACCTGCATTGTGCATGTCTCTGAAGAACTGTAATTGTTAGCAGATGACTGAAAAGGCTTTCTAGGTACTCCCAGAAGCAGATTTATAGCCTCAGAGATCATATAGCATTTTTTAAAATGCTCTGAACGTTATTTATAGCTGTTTTCCTGACTGATTTGCTTTCTTATTTCTGTTCTTCTCTATTCCACAGGGGGTTCTGCTTTTTTAATTCGATTGCAATTACTGCCAAATACTTGAGAGACAAGCTAAATATAGGCAAGATATTGATTGTAGATCTGGTATGTATTCTTGGAAGCACCATACTTTCAGTATATCGAGATAAAAGATAATTAATTTGTATTTATATGTCAGGCTTTCCTGCTTTTAATACCTACCAGTAATAAAGGTGTGCATTTCCTCTGATTTTGGGAACTCATTAAAGCCAGGATGGCAGTACTGAAGCCATAAACATCTATGTTTCACTTTAATGGTGTTAACTGCAATTTAATGAGAAGAAGGCACAGATCAGGGCAACTTTTATGGTCCTTAAATGAATTGATACTTCCACCGTTAAAATAACCCTACAGAACCCAAATTTACTTTTCCCTACAGAATACAAACTTTAAATACTCAGATGTGCTTTAAAGAATGTTGTTGCTTTGGTAACCAAATTGGCCACTTCCCCCAGCTAGCAATGATTCGACTTGTTGTGTAATTTCAATATTATTAAGCAAATCAACAGGTCATTCTCTCTAAGAAGTTTTCAAATCACGTATGCCAGTTTTTGGTGGTTCCCTGAAGGAAAGCGGCGTGATTAAAAATCAACTTCATTGGATTAGTCTTGTATTTTAATAGAAGGCATTCTTACACAATACTTAATAGGTTTAACGAATGGATTATTTAAATGCAAATGACATTTGGCATGTTGTCTATATTATTTTCATGAATAATGAATTGGAGATCTGCCTTGCACTTAAAGGATCAGCCCAATACACAGCCCAAGGAAAGTTGAATGCTGATTTATGAGCTCCATTTTTGTTTTCCTACAGTTCACGAGGAGGTGTAATAGGGTGTCTGACAAAGCATAGACAGGAAATGAACCCTGGCATCAAAACCTAACCTGTTACATCTGCACTTAATTAATTTTTGCAGGTGATAAAAGATTTAAAGACAAAATATGTTAAAGGGTTTTTGAAGTGCAGGGCTTAATAGTCTAAATCTTGTTCATATCTGGACTCATAATTAAATCTTATTGTGAAGTCATGGCCTTACCATCTAGCACTTTTGTTCAGTTAAACATGCATACTGGTTGTTGAAGAGAAGCAGAGAAAGGGCGAGTGTGGGAGAAAGAAATAGCAAGTGAAAAATGAGCAGTAAAATAAGTACGTGGGTAACTTAGATATTCTTAGGATGTTTTTCAAATATTTCTCAGAGTGTTTTATTATCACTTAGGAACATAATAGTCAACTGCAAGAAACCAATATTTGTGAAAAAAAAATCACTTCCATTGTATGTTGTATCCATTTGCTGACTTGAATCTTACAGTTCATTGAGTTTTACTACAGTAAATGCTGGCCAAAAGTGAATTCTATGTTTATTCTTGTTTTTGAATAAGAAAAGCCTATTCAAAGCTTATATTTTGTGAATGTTTTTAAGTCTTTTTGACTGTAAGTGTTACATTCGCCAAGTCAGGAAAAGAAATCACTTCCATTTGACCTGCTCAACCAATAAGTACTTAGGAATTCAGCTTCAATTTTGCAAGGCAAGGTTAAATGTGCAAATCATTCCCTGTGCAAATAATTACCTGTGACGCTGCCTATCCTTACCCAGGAACGTAGAGAGGGGACACTCAGCCTCTCCCTGATTCCATCGCACTGGTCAGAGTAACTCGGCTGGTGAAAGGGGAGAAACATATGGCTGATACAGATTATTTCATTCCTGGAGCAGTTACAGTCCAGTCCCTAGTCGACTCCATGGTCAGTGCAATGACACATAAAAATTCATAAGGAAAATTTCTTATATATGCAAACTGTGGCTAAATTATAATCCAAACTGAATGACTGAAAGAGTAAGTTAATAGTGATGTCTTTATGTCCAGCAAAGGAGAACTTTGGGCATCTGAAAGAAGGAATGGAATTACAGGCATTAGACTTAAAATTAACCTTTAAGACTATATTTTGACAGTGACTAGCACAGCAGGACATTGGGCTGATTGGGCTGATTACATTTACTACAATGTAAATGCTAAAATATAATATTCAATGCCGTACATTAAACTGTGCTCTAGTTGCAAATGAAGAGTAGTCTTCCTAGCTGGTACATGTGTTCATATATAAATTCTTAGCCTTTTAATTTTTAATCTTTCCTTCATTTTTTTCTACACTAAATTGAAAGATCACTCTACCAGCTTTTCTTTCCTTGTTCACAATATGAATAAACCTCCAATTTTGAACTGAATTTTATACTCTGAATACATTTGATCTACCAAGGCCAGAATCCGAACACATTTTACACATCGTAACATACAGAGTCTTAAATAACATGGATGTCTTTGTCTAAAAAGAGAAACTACTGCTCTTCAAAAGGTGGACATCCCTGGTGAAGTTAAAGTTTAGACAAGAAAGCTAGTTTTGAGATATGGGCAATCAGAAAAAGGCTCTGCCTGACCATTTAATTTTTTTTCCTTGTCATTTGAAAACTTTTATAGTAAGAAACCCAAAACCCATGCCAATCCCCTAATACTCATGGAAAATAAAGACTAATCTAAAATCAGAAAGCATAGTACTCTTATGTTTTTAGGTATGTTCTCTGCAAATATACATATATATACGTATGCAAATATATGTGTGTGTATATATATATATATATACACACACATACACACACATATATATATGATCCGTATAGCTCTTCAGTTTGTTGCTGCATTCCTGGTCCCAAGATCATCCATGCTTGCAGGTATGTTTGCATGATCTGGGGTCTGTTTTAGAGTAAAGCAATTAGTTCTGCCCCAGATGAAAACTGATGTGGTTCTGGGGTTAGTCTGCATGCCACATTTGAATTCATTTCCAACTCCAAGACCTCTAACACTACGTTGGCTGCCTTCAAACCTCCAATACCCTCACATTAGTGTATGCTTCTCCTGCTTCCCCCCAAGATGAGTTACATTTAACCTCAGCATTATACAATTAGGCTGTGACTTCATCCTCATATTGTTTCAAACACTTTCAACTGAGAAAAAAAAGTAATCCTTATAATATTACCCTGGATAGGTCCCAGAGGAGGTCAAGTACAATGCAGTACAAGTGAGACTAGGTCAATCAGTGTGGATGAAAATCATGGACTACCTCAGCTGGCAAAGGGTGCAAGCAGTGGGCAGAACTTGCTGTGCTTTTAGCAGTGTAGACCTAACTTGAACCTTCCTGGAGTCTAGACATCCTGAGGAAAATGTGACTATCATTTTTCTACTATTAATTTCACTTCAGGCTTCATTTCATTTGTAAAATAAATACAGTCTGAGTAGCAATGTTGCCCTTCAGAGTACTTTGTCTATCCTCCTTCCCAATTCTGCCTTAAAATTAGAAATTTTGAATGGATTGACTGAAGAAAGAGGATTGATAATATCTGTAATTTTTCAGCTTCTTACATATCCCAAGGCATAAGCTTACAAAAAGGTTTTACAAATTTTTTTACAAAAAATTTTTCCTCTGCCAAAGGGCAAGTGGATGTTCCATTTCATTTGTAAAATTTCGTGTGTACAATCATAGCACTGTAATAAAAAAAAGTCCACATCATGAGCATTTATCATATAGATAAACTGTTAGTATTTCTTTCTCACTATTTTATTTAGTGACATAGAATTTCTTTTCATTGAGGTTATATAATATTTGAAATATGAGGTTATATAATATTTGAAATATGGAGCCTGGCCAAGGTCACTCCTTGATTGTAGAAGGCACCATCCTATCTGCCAGATGATTTAATAGCTAATGAGATCATATTCTGATGTCTTCAAATGTTGCCGTCATGATTTTGCAAAAATGAAGTATGAAGTCCTTTCCGCATCTGGCATCTCTTTTGATGTGGATCTAACTGCTGAGGGACTGCTAACTGAACTGAATGTTTCAAGAAAGCCAATTTACTCAGCTGGTCACAAAGCCTTTGACCTCAATAGTGGAACTTGGCAAATCAATGAATACACTTATGTTTAGTGTTCTGTCAAGAATTGTGAAAAAGCTCTGTAAACCATAGATCCTTCTGCAAAATACTAGTTTGTAGTTTAAACATTAGTCTTTCTTCAGAGGCCAATGAGGCTAGTTAATTAAGCCTGAGGGGTTATGAACTGTTGGCAGTTAATAAGTCATAAAATTCCTCCATAAAACAGGATGCTAGATTCCATCACTGAGGCAAGGAGTACAAAGAGCCGGTGTATAAATATCTAATTGTACAAAAGGACTGGGATTTCTCAATGACTGCTCATCTGGAGTCTCCAGGGCACGCTCGCTATGGTTTCCTGATTTTTAGAAGCCAGTTTAAAAAATGAGTGCATTAAAGAGTAATTTGCCTGAAAGTTCAGGAAGTATGGGGTGGTGAAGGGAGGGGGAAAGGGAAAGACAAAAGGAGGGCAAGGGAGAGGGAGAGAAACAGAGAGAGAGAAAGAGAGAGAGGGTAAAAGAAAGCAGAACTGAGCTCTCTACACTGAGTGGGACATTATTACATTTGTCATCTGTTTTCTTTCTCCTTTAGGATGTTCACCATGGCAACGGTACACAGCAGGCTTTTTATGCTGACCCCAGCATCCTGTATGTTTCCCTCCACCGCTATGATGAAGGCAACTTCTTCCCCGGCAGTGGAGCCCCAAATGAGGTTAGGTTTATTTCTTTAGAGCCCCATTTTTATTTGTATCTTTCAGGTAATTGCGTTGCATGATTACCCCTAATTTTCTCATCCTTGTCTGGTTCTTTAAATTACACCAGATTACCAAATTGTCCACTGGGACTAGGGCACCAGTGAAGAACAAGTGCATAACCCAGAGCAGTCCTTGTCAAACAAGGCTGAGCTGCTTTGACATGTTGTTTGATCTTTGTTTCTAAAGCACACACTTTAGAATTTTTTCTCTTTTTCACATTCCCCTTTTCTCTTTTCTTCCTTCCTCTTCCTCTTCTTCAATCCTTCTGGCATTTTCTTCATATTTTTCAGGTTGGAAGTGGCCTTGGTGAAGGGTATAATATAAATATTGCTTGGACAGGTGGTTTGGACCCTCCTATGGGAGATGTTGAGTATCTCACAGCATTCAGGTTGGTACTTTTTTTCTTTTAAAGTTACAAAAACTGGTTGGAGAACATAAGCACATGAGTAACAGCTACTGCAATTCTGAAAGGAGAAAGAGCCATGGTGAAACTAACTTAATCTTGATATTTGAAAAGTTATTAGGATTAATAAATGAGTTGTTCAATTGTTATGGTCACCCAGTCAGAATGAACAACAACGAAAAGTATTTGATGATTTTATTATTCAGTCATTTTGTCATAGTTATATGACAGTATACAGCCAGTAAACTAACTTTGAGCTGCTTACTTCCCAGCCTACAAAATTGAAGTGTAAGCAGTTATATCAGGCACAAGAAAGATACATAGTGTTGATGTTGATTGCAGTTACATGCAAATATAGCAGATGCAAAGCAATATGAAGTATGGTCCAAATCTAGCATTCCTCATTAACTTAAAAACATGACTATGATCCTCACAAATTTGACCAGTTGATGTTTTATGTATATTATAGTAAAGTATTGGTTACTTAGAAGTAAATAATTCTGAAACGTATCAGTAAGGACAATATGAAGTGTTTTATGCTGTATTTCTCTTTGCTTTCAATAGCCTTATAAATGAAATTTCATTCTTTCATAGGTGGTGCATCATAATCCTAGTTTTATTTTCATGGGGCCAGTGGAGATAGAACCAGCTTAAAACATGCCCTTTTATACTTTCGGTAGTCCTATTTTACATACGTCATTTCCTTTCATTGTAAAACGGTCCTGTGAAAGGGTTTATTGAGCTCTTGCCCCTCAAGATTGAGCAAATGCTGCATATCTGAACATAGCCTTCTTTTAGTGAAAACTGACACGCAAAAAAGTCAGTGAAACAACTAGCATGTATCTCTGATCACTTCCAAGACTTGTAATTAGAAACAGTGCATCTACCTTTTACAGCTTTGGACCTGTATTCTGACAAAAATATTCTGACAGAAAGTATAAAACTCATTTTTAATCTTTTTTTGAAGCCATCTTTGGAAGTCCATGAAAAAGTACTCAGAGGATCTCATAACAATACACCTGAAGTCAAAGTCTGAACCCTAGACACAGAAATGACCTAAAACAGTCACTTTATCACACTATTTTTATGAAATGAGTTTGAATTTTGTTTACATCTTTTACCCGTACTTAAAAGTCTAAACAAATAGTCAGCTAGGGATGCACTTAAGGTGATAGGCCCTAAATTTTCTACGCTTAAAAGTTGCTTCAGGCTCTCTCCAAGATCTGCCTTATTCTTTGTTGAAATTTTATGGAAGTTAGGGTACTGGATGGTTCAGACCCTTGGTATTAGCATCTAGTGTTAATATTTGGTATGCTCACCCCAAATTCCTTGTTTCGATTTGACCTATGCTGATAATGATGTAGGTAACATGGCCATGTAACCCTGTGGGCAATGCTGGTCTCAGCTGATTGCACAGGTTTCCATAACTGAGACTACTACCATAATTGCCATCCTTGCTATCAATGACAACAAATACCTGGGGTTATACCCTTCCAAATATGTTCTTTACAGGTCTAGTATAAGGCATACTCGTGAACAGTTCAAAGTAGCTAGTATTGCTGTTGTGCACGTTGCTCTACTTCAGAGTTAAAAGGGATGTCAATCAGTGTCAATTTTGCCTGGGTAAAACAGGACTTTTTAGGAAAATATAATTCATGTAAACTTACACATCGAATAGTCATTTGCAGTCATACCGTTCAAATGAGTGATTAGTTTTAATATCTTTTAAAGCAGATACTTTTAGTGTAATGATTAGGATCTCCCTGAAAAGAATGCCAATGATTCAAAATTTAGTGCTGTTATTTTTAATTTATCCTGTAATTTGTGCTTGGATTATACTGGTGACATTTCTATGTTAGGTTAAATAGCTAGTTGCTATTTTTTAATTTTTATTTTTTAGAAATATAATGCTGATTGCAATAGATACTGCTCTTTTCCTTTTAACCAAATGAGCAGAAAGACCAGGAAGCTTTCCTTCTTCCTAAGCTCCTTTTTGCCTGGGCACAGTCCTTGGCTTCTCTGTAGTGCTCCCTGGTAAGGATATGATATCACTGGTCTGACGGTTTTGAATAGGGATCAGTGAAGCAAACTGCACGCAACTTTGAAGGCTGAACACAAAACTCTATATTATGTAGGATGAATCAGATAGTCATTTACTATGCATCTGATATGAATGGTAAGAGTAATGGTAAGTAAGAGATGGTGTCGGTGATGTTCATCTTGAACATATGCAAGGTGTGTGTAAGTCTGCAGAGGGATGGGGTCTATTTGGAGAACAACTAGGGATTCCTGCTTTCTGGTATCTTCAAGAACCTAATCTTCTGAGGCCTTAGGAACTAAGAAATTCACATTAAAATCATCCAAAGCTCCCTAGGGGGTACACATAACCTTCACTTTCTCACGAGCAGAGCCCTAGTTTCCTCCAACTGCACCTACCACGTATTTGAAGTGTCAGCAACCATGACACTAGGCAGCTCATTCCTGC